ACTAAGATGTGCGGCCACAAAGCTGGGGCCGCTCTGCTTCCTCAGGGCTCATCCTACCTGATGGAGTCATAGACGCTGCTGTAGGTGAAGAGGTAGGTCCGCAGGGACTCCTCCTGGATCTTCCTATGGGATACAGAAGAGATCTTCAGGAAAAGAGACCAACCAGTCTTATTTGCCACCTACCACGTTTCCCCTCTCGGCTCACCTCACCAGCATGGTTCGGACTTTGTCAGCTTCAGGGAAAAGGTCCCACACTTTGCCATTCATTTTCTCATTGATGATAAAACTGTGGCAAGTCTTCCAGTCACCCATCTTCATAGCCTTTGAGGCAGCGACCACATGTTCCCTCATTGATTCGGGGGGGCCTGAAAGGTTGGGAATGAGGCAGGGGCTAGGAAACCGGGCACCAGGTTCTGGCCCCCAGGAGAGCCAACAACCAGCCGGGAGACCTTCCTCTCTCTCCACTAAATATCACATCACTGTGTAAGTCCTGTACCACCAGAATAAGTTGATTTAGATTTAGACTAAATCAGTCCATGATGTGCTTAGGGAACTAGTGACCTCTTTGAAAATGTTGACAAATTGCTTTGTGTGTCTTTATGAGTATTATCCTAGAAAAAGGGTCCATAGTTTTCATCAGATTCTTATAAGAATCCTTGACCTAAAAAAATTAACATCTCAACTGGAATGGTAGTTATCCAACTTCCTTCCTTCTTAATACCACCTTCATGATACCATATCTACTATATATCACACTGTTATCAGTTTATTTTTCTTTAAAGTGGCTCACTCCTTTTCTTAAAAAAATTTAGCTTCACTTTAAATTTTAATAAATCATGGGTTTGATATGCTGATGGATTTGGGCCCCCAAAGTATAGTTGTGAGAAACAAGCCAGGAAGATAGACATGGCCAACGAGAGTGGCTGAGAATTCACAACAGACAATAAAGTATAAAAGCGCCACGACTGGAAATGGATGGCAGATGAAGGGAACCATGAGCAGGGCCCAACCTAAACAGGGACTACAAGCTCAAGCATGTCCGCGGTTGAGGCCAGGTAGAAATGTATGGATAGGGCTAAGTATAAGGAAAGACACACAACCCTTTTGTGTCAGCTTCCATCTGATCACTTCTGAAAATTAGGCAAGGTTAGAGGTTCGAAGGATACTTCTCTACAAATCAAAACGTAGAGCTAAAACAGAAACTGGCTTCTGGCTCCACTGCAGGCACTGACGCGCAACAGCAGGAACTGTGGTGAACCAGAGAGCCCTAAGAGATGCTGGAAACACAGGCTTTCACTGGAAATGTCCAATTAAAGCAAGTATCACGACAGAAGCCAAACAAAACCTGCCTCAGGGGCATTTCAACAGGACCACACACACAACCAGCAGAGGACAGATCTATAAAGGGATGCAGCTGTGAACAGTAAGCCTGGCTCACTCGCCAAATCTTTTAACCCCACTGGAAGGACACAATTCAAATTCCTTTCCCAGTGAAATCACAACTCACTCAACTGCTGGATTTATGGATCAGACCTTTCAGAAGTGATTAGAGAGGCCAATGTTAGATTCTTGAATGCCAAGGGTCTAACTGTTTGGCTAAAAAATAATGCGTACGAAGGGGAAAAAGGAAAAAAGGTTAGAGAGGCACACATTAGCTATGTTAGTTAGGCAAGTCACTTAACTTCCATGACTCAGTTTCTTAATCAAGAAAAAGGGGGTAATAATAGTATCTACATTACAGAGTTATTAGTAATTAAGAATATATAAATTATTTTTACAGTACCAGTCAGAAAAAAAGCACTATGTAAATTTATATTAAATAAGAAATACCACTGGAAACAGGTCATGAGTTTGACTTAATAACTAAGGAGAGCAAGCTTTATTCTGTAGGCAATGGTGTATGGCATTATACAATAAATTCTTTTTTTTTTTTTAAATAATTACTATTTATTTATTTATTTATTTATTTATTTATTTTTTAATATATATTTTTTATTGATTTTGTACAGAGAGGAAGGGAGAGAGATAGAGAGCCAGAAACATCGATGAGAGAGAGTCATCGATCAGTTGCCTCTTGCACACCCCCTACTGGGGATATGCCCGCAACCAAGGTACATGCCCTTGACCGGAATCGAACCCGGGACCCTTCAGTCCCCAAGCCGACGCTCTATCCATTGAGCCAAACCGGTCCCGGCAATAAATTCTATAGAAAGATAAGGCTGACAAGCAGACTGAAATGGAGAATAACAGAAAGCAGGGAGCTTAATTTGTAAAACAGAACAATGTATCCTATGGTGAGACATTACAGAAACTATTAAGTAAAAACAATGGCTTAAGATTCTTTATGAAGATGTCATTAAATCAAATGGAATCAAATTATTCTCTTTAGCTTCTCTTAATCCTTTTATTAAAAGTAATCGATAAATCAGCCTGGCTGGTGTGCAGGTCACGGTACAATACCTGGTCAGGGCACAGGCCCAGGTTGTGGGCTCGATCCCCAGTAGGGGGTGTGCAGAAGGCAGCCAACCAATTAATTCTCCCTCATCGCTGATGTTTCCATCTCTCCCTCTCCCTTTCTCACTCTGAAATAAATAAAAACACTAAAAAAAAAAAAAAAAAAAAAGAAAGTAATCAAGGAACAAAGAAGTGAAGTCTGTTCCACTACGGAGCTCATACTCACCCAGCAGGGGCTGCCGCTCGCCCACCCGCAGCTGGTGATGGAACTGCTTGCTGATCATGCGTCGGCGGGCATCACTTTCGTGGGCGGCCATGTAGGGGATCTCCAGGAGCATGGCAGACACCAGGTAAACACACTCCAGCAGCTCCAGGTTGATGTGCAGGTGGAAGGGCACCTGCCGGCGCCGCTCCACCTTCTCCTGCTCCTGGTTGCGCTCCTGGAGGCTGCGCAGCAGCAGGCCCTGACCGAGGAGCTCCTTGGCGCGGCCGCTGGACTGGATGTCCAGCAGGGCGTTGTGGGCGTCCTTGGTCAGGCCTTGGCGGAAGGCACAGATGCCCAGCTGCACCATGGTGCGGTTGTACAGGATCTGGGAGCAAAGGATGATACACTCAGAGGTGACAGTGACAGGGCAAGTCATTTCCAGTTGTTCATTCAACAAACATACAAATACTCAACGAATGATACACTGATGTGGTAAGCACTAGGCAACAGGATGGGACTGAGAACGAAACAGACAAGCCCCTGCTCCACCACAGAGTTCCCATTCTAGGGAAAGGGTGTGGAAGAGAAAGAGCCACAAAGCCACAGTATACATGTGGGACTCGTGCTAGAAGAAAAATAAAGCAGAGGAGGAAATAAAGGGAGTTTATGTGATGGTGGTAGTGGTGGGAGCTCACAATTTTATATGGGATAACTAGGGAAGGCCACATCTTGATGGGAATGTTTAAATAAATACCTAATAGAAAAAGAGGGAGCAAGTCCTACAGATAACTGGGAGAAGAGCATTGTAGGAAAAAGAAAAAGCGAAGGCAAAGGCCATGTGCAAGAGTTGTGCCAGGTGCACTTGAGAAACAGGAATGTGAAATGGCCACAGCTGATAAAAAGATGCGATCATAAACCAGAGGCTGAGCAAACACACAGCCATGTAAGCCAGGTTAAGAGTTTTAAGATGGAAAACCGTGGGAAGGTTTTGAGCAAATAAGTGATATAATCTGACTTAATTTAATATGGCTACTTTGGCCACTGTATTAAGAATAGCCTTTGGAAAAAAAGGAAAAAAAAGAATAGCCTTTGGGCCCTGGCCGGTTTGGCTCAGTGGATAGAGCATCAGCCTGTGGACTGAAGGGTCCCAAGTTCGATTCCGGTCAAGGGCATACACCTTGGTTGCAGGCACATCCCCAGTAGGGGGTGTGCAGGAGGCGGCTGATCGATGTTTCTCTCGCATCAATGTTTCTAACTCTCTATCCCTCTCCCTTCCTCTCTGTAAAAAAATGAATAAAATATATTTTAAAAAACCTACCTGTATATTAAAAAAAAAAAAAATAAAAATAGCCTTCCAAGGGACGGTGGGCTAGACGCAGTCAATGCGGGGATGGAGGGGGGAAGGGACATATGTAAAAAAAAAAAAAAAAACCGCAACACAATAGTTTTTTTTTTTTTTTTTTTTTTTTTTTTTAAAAGAAGAGCCTGAAGGTCAGAAGCAGAGAGACACCAAGATGATGGTGGCAGAGGGAAGCAGGTGTAGTATGTGAGGGGAAAACAAGAATCATGGAGGATGCCAAAATTTCTGACTTCCGCAACTGAAAAATGGACTTGCCACTAATTAAGAAGTTTAGATTGTAAGCAACACAGACTTCTTTTAAGGGGGGGAAAGACTAAGTATTAATAATAGCAAACACACAGAGGTCATTATCAGATATAAACAGATACAAAAAGCCTTTAAAATTATTAGTAAACAGAATCTAGCAACATTTAAAAGAGATAATAAATCTTGACCAAGTAGGATATATTTCAGGAATGAAAGGCTTACATAAAAATCTAAAATCATGGTTATTCACCAAATGAACAGAACAAAGGAGAAATTAACTGTATATCATTTCAATAGATGCAAAAAAAGCTTTTGACAAAATTCACTATCTGTTTTAACATAAATTCTCATTGAACTTGGATCAATCTGAAAAAGGATATTGACCAAAATACTACAGCTAACAATGCATTTCTTAGAATGTATTCCCCTCATTAAGCAATGCATGACTGTATTAGAGCTAAGTGAATTTAGCAAAATGGTAGGATACACTGGTAATTAACAATTGAAAAATGCAACTGAAAAAAATAATTATATTTACAAAAGTGTCAAGTATCACATGATATTTGGGAAAAATTTTTAAAAAGATGTCTAATACTTCCAACTTTGCAGAGAGAAACTGAAGAAAATAAATGAAGAGATAACATGTAAGACTGAAAGATTCAATGTTTACTTATTAACGTGAATTTTCCTAACATTGTTTTATAGATTTGATAAAATCCCAGCAGGTGTTTTTTGTAGAAACTGACAAGCTGACTCTAAAATTTATGTGGAAATGCAAAGATCAAAAATATCCAAATCATTCCAAAACAGAAGTTGACATTGAGAGTTACTCTAAAGGCACAGCAATCAAGACAGTATTAGAATGGCAGACAAAAACATGAATGAATGGAACAGAATAGAGACCAGAAACACATGCACACTTTAAGGGTCAAGCAGTATTTCACAAAAGCACCAAAGCAATACAATAGGGATAGACAGTCACTGACCCTGACTTCACACCATATGCAAAAATCAGATTTAAATGTGAAAGCTAAAACCATTAAGAACTTAAAAAAAAAAAAAGAAGAAACGAATATCTTCATGAATTGCAAGTAGGCAAAGGTTTCTGTCACTAGGACCCAGAAAATAACCATAAACAAAAAAACCGATAAGCCAGACTACACCAAAAGGAATGGTTAAGAAAATGAATAAGCAAAGCACAAAATGGAAGATTATTTGGAAAACTTTGACCCGACAAAGGACTGGCATCCAGGATATATAAAGAATTCCTACAACTCAATAATAAAAAGACAAACAATCCAATCTTTAAAAGCAGTAGGCAGAAGTTGCCCTAGCCAGTGTGGCTCAGTAGTCACAGCATCAGCTTCCTGTCAAGGGCACATACCTCCAATGCAGGCTCGGATACTCGGCCAGGAGGGCATGTGGGGAGAGAGGGGACAACCCACTGATTTGTCTGGCATCAATGTTTCTCTTTCTCTCTCCTTCCCTTCCACTCTTTCTGAAAATCAATATCCTCCGGTGAGAATTAACAAACGAACAAAAACAATAAGCAAAAGTTGATCAGACATTTTATGAAAAAAGACATATAAAGGACAAATCAACAACAACAAAAATCAATTTTAAGAGTTTTAAGAACACCATGGGATTCCATTACACAACCACCAATATGGCTAAAATTAAAAAAGACCTACAATATAAAACATTAACAAGGAACACTCTCACACATTACTCGTAGGAATATAAAATGATAAGGAACCAACCACCTCAGTTTCTAATAAATCTAAACATACAACTACAGCAATTCTACTCTTTTTTTTTTTAATATATTTTTTTGATTTTTTACAGAGAGGAAGAGAGAGGGATAGAGAGGTAGAAACATCGATGAGAGAGAAACACCGATCAGCTGCCTCTTGCACACCCCCTCCTGGGGATGTGCCCACAACTAAGGTACATGCCCTTGACTGGAAGGAATCGAACCTGGGACCTTTCAGTCCATAGGCCGACACTCTATCCACTGAGCCAAACTGGTTTCGGCAGCAATTCTACTCTTAAGTATTACCCAAGAGAAAACATATCCACACAAAGACTCATACATTATTGTTCACAGCAGCTTCATTTAAAAACTGGAAATACACCAGCAATCTATCAAAAACAAAAATAGATTAAGAACTTGTAATTAAAACAGTATGGTTCTGGCATAAAAACAGATATAGATCAATGGAATAGAGTTCAGAAATAAAACCACACATTTGTAGCCAATTAATAGTCAACAAAAGAGGCAAGAATATACAATGGGGCTAAAGAATCTATTCAATAAACTAAAGAGTTGGACAGATACGTGCAAAAAATTGAAACTGCCCCCACCTTCTTACACCATACACAAGAATAAACTAAAAATTAATTAAAAGACTTACACATAAGACCTGCAACTATAACAATCCTAGAAGAAAACAAAGACAACAAAATCTTGGACATTTCTCTTAGTAAACATTTTTTCTGATATAGCTTCTTGGGAAAGGGAAACAAAAGACTAAAACAAACGGGACTACATCACATCAAACTAAAGTTTTTGCACAGCAAAGCATCAAAAAAATGAAAAGTCAACCCACTGAATGAGAGCATATTCACCAGTGATACATCTAATAAGGGATTAATACCCAAAATTTATAAGAACTCATACAACTCAACACCAAAAAAACCAAACAGTCAAATTTAAAAATGGGCAAAGGACCCGAATAGACACTTCTCCAAAGTGGACATACAGATAGCCAAAAGACATGAAAAGATGCTCAACATTACTAATCATCAGAGAAATGCAAATTAAAACCACAGTGAGATATCACCTCATAACTGTCAGAATGGCTGCCATCAATAACTCAACGAGTGTTGGAGAGGATCTGGAAAAAGGGAAACTTGTTGGGAATGCAGACTGGTGCAGCCACTGTGGAAAGCAGTATGGAGGTTCCCCCCAAAATTTAAAATGGAACTGCCTTATGATCCAGTGACTCCACTTCCGAGAATATATCAGAAGAAACCCAAAACACTACTTCAAAAGAATATATGCACCCTTATATTCATTGCAGCATTATTTACAAAAGCCAAGCTATGAGAGCAGCCCAAGTGTCCATCAATAGACAAGCAGATAAAAAAGCTGCGGTACATTTATACAATGAATATTACTCTGACACAAAAAAGAAAATTTTATCATTTGTGACAGTATGGATAGGCCTAGAAAGTTATTAAGAGAAGTAAAATCAGTCAGAGAAAGACAAATACCATGTGATTTCAGTTATAAGTGGAACCTAAAGAACAATATAACAAATCAACCAACCAGCGGAGGACATATAATCAATAATATTTTAACAACGATGTATGGTGCCAAGTGGCACCAGTATTATCAGGGGGAAACACTTTGTACACCTGAAACTAATATAAAAGTAAATTGTAATTGAAAAGAAAAAGTTCATACAATGAAGTAAAAAAGAACAAATGAAAGTGCTTTTTAAAAACCGCCACCAAAAAGGTTTACCAAATGTTCACCACATGAATATTAATTATTATTTTTTTATAGTAAAGGTGGAGATTTAAAGACGCCCACGTGGGGAGAGGGAAAGAGTCCCCGAATATTAATTATTTTAAGCACACATTTAAAGACACAGCTTTAAATGCCCTCACAATACAGCCACACACACAAAATTAGTTGCTCCACTGTTGTGTGCCAACATATCATACTACATTTGGATCCCTGTCTTCCAATTGGTTTGACTACTTCTTATATAGTTCTTTTCACCTTTTTAAACAAGATGATCACCTAATGTTCCGAAGTAGGAATAATAAGTGTTAGTTGGACCCAAATTTCTATCCCAGAGGACTCTAATGCTGTTGGACCAGTACAACAAAATGTTAATATGCAGGAGGATCAAAGAATGCTGGCAACTAGGAAAGACCAAAGGTTTACTTATATCTGAGTTAGCCAAAGTGACTAATTTGATTGAGCCATTCTGCCCCAATCGGGACCTGGCCTGGTCTTCCCTTTGCCACTAAAGCCAGAGCGTCTGCTCATCCTACCTGTACTGGAGGGTCTGCGTGCTGAATGTTGTCTTGTAGGTGGCTCATAAGCATGAGGTCCCGGGCCTGGTACCAGCGGGAGTGCAGGGCATGATGGTAGATATGGCAGAGGATGGCGCACGTGCGAATTCGGTCTGTGCGGTCTTTGGCATAGATGTACTTGCAAAGTCTCTCCATCAGCAGAGCCGAGTCCTCGCCCTCATTTTCTGCCTGATCTTGGTCAGACTGGGGGGCAGGGGAGCGGGGTGATGTTAATGTTTGGTGAGGGGAAGAGGAGGGACAGACAAGGACGATGGGTCTAAATGATTTAGGCATTAACCACCAAATGAGACTTCACCCAGCCTCGCCGTTACCATTTTCCCTCCCTGCTCCACTTCAGGAACAGGGAATGGAAGGTTTGCCATCAACACCTGACACATATATAGGACAGACAGACATATCCCTCTGCTCCTTGGCAGGCACTCACCTTTGAGGAGCCCTCAGGGAGGGTGAGCTGCCGCTGATGGGCCTTGTAATCAAACTTGTAGTAGGTGTGGAGAATGCGCCTCAGGTAGACACGGCAGATCTCCTCAGTAGTCCCCTTCTCCTCCAGGTAGTGCTGCACACGCTCAATGATGGCACACACCTTTGCCTCATCCTTCAGGTGCTCCACATACTCTGGCAGGGAGAGCACCCCCCTAAGCTCAGCCAGGCACCCAGGCTTTCTCAGTCGTTTGCCCCTGACCAATCCAGTCGCCTATGTACGTTTTCCGCACCCATCAGATGCCGTCCTGGTACACACCAAGCTCACTTTCTGTTCCTCCTGTTAGGCCTTCTCTTCTGCTAATTCCCCCCCCGGCTAACGCCCCTCCTCCTCATTCCGGTCTCACCTCACATGCCTCTACCTAAGGATGCTCTGTTCAACCGTTATCTAAAACTGCGACTCTTCCAGGCTTACCTCAGGCCCCAATTTGAATTTCTAATTCACAGTTTACATCACCTAAAATTATCTCCTTTGTTTATTTGGAAAGACCATAGGTCTACTGCTGCCCCAGCAATGAATGTAAAATAAACTCCGTGAGCATGAAGGCGTTGAGCTGGAACACCCTTGACTCAGTGGGCACACGTGGGTATTCACATTTTACTCTGGAAATGTCCTGTATTTTCCCCACCTCAATGTCCCTGATCCAAGCTAAAGTCAAAAGGGCAGAGGCCATAACCAATTATTCTGAAAGTGTAATTCACAGACCAACAGCACCGCCTAGAAACATGTTAGAAAAGCAAATTTGAGGCCTCACTCAGCCCTACTGAAGCAGAACTTATGAGGAACCCAGTGTCTCAAGCCTGCCAGAATCGTCCTCTAGAGAGAATGCTTTCCAAATGCTCATTTAGTATAATATATCCTTAGTTTTAGTTCTTCACATCTCACTGATACCCATGCTTGCTCAGGCTCACCTTGGGAGTGAGGGTCAGTATTTTGCATTATTTTGGTAAATTCTTCATCCATCCGTTCCACCAGAGTTAGGATACAGCCACGGACACGCAGTGGCTGAAAAGGCAAAGGAGTAGTAAACAACCAGCCCATACTTCAATTGTTATTTCCTTCAAGCTTTCTCAAAGCAGACAACATACACATCTCCAGTTAGCCTGCCAATTCCTCTCTTTACCTGGTCAGCATTATGCAGGTTCTCACTCTCTTCCAGAATGTTCTCTCCAACAAAGATGTTGGGATTTGCAAATAGGATGTCCATCAGCTCATTGATGCAATCCAGGCACTTCTGCCACATCTCGGGCTGCCAAGAGATCAGATGGCAGTCAGAGGTGTGCAAGGGGAATGAGCAGGTGCCTCCCAAAAGCCCCTTCACCAGAACGCACAGAGCCTTCAACTCTAAGGCTGTTTCCACAGCCCTTGAGTTTTTATTTCTTAAATATATTTTTATTGATTTCAGAGAGGAAGTGAGAGGGAGAGATAGAAACATCAAATATGAGAATCATTGATCGACTGCCTCCTGCACGCTCCCCACCGGAGATGGAGCCTGAAACCCAGGCAGGTGCCCTTAATTGGAATCGAATCCGGGACCTTTCAGTCCACAGGCTGACACTCTATCCACTGAGCCAAACCAGCTAGAGTAGGGGTGTCGAACTCAATCAGAGAAGGGGCCAAAATCTAAAATCCAGCCTAAATCGCGGGCCGAATGGTTTACTGAACAGTCATAAACTGTCATTGTGATGGAAACGCAGCGGAGTGCAGTGATGACAGCGCGGTGCGGGCCACATTGCAAGGCCTGGCGGGACGGATTTGGCCCTCGGGCCTTGTGTTTGACACATGTGAGCCAGAGCCACAGCCCTTGAGTTTTAAGACTCTGGTACCTTCCGCTAATCCACCAGCTCAGCCCTGGAACGCTCCTCTTTATTGCCCTCACCTTCATGTAAGTAGCCAGGTTGGGATTGTAGTCGTAGAGAGAGGCGATGATATTGAACTTGATCTTAATGGCGACACCCTCCCCAAGGTTGTTTTCAGAAGCAATCTGAACCAGCAGTTGTAGCAGCTCAATCTGGGATGCACTAGAGGGTCCAGAACAGGGTGAGGCATCAAAGACAAGTCAGAAATCTCATCCTGCCATACAGCATGCTTCCTTTGAACAAGTGAGGCAGCTTCATTCCTAACACCCCCTCCTCACCTCCTATATACCTGCTTCTCCTTCATAAATTTCAAACAGAAACAGCACTGATGCTAACAAGCTATCATTCTCTTTAGGCACCATTAGAAGGTGAACATTATTCCCGTTTTATACATGGGGAAAACGGTCCTAGAAGGACAAGTGATTGGCTTAAGGTCAAAGGGAAAGTAAACAGAACAATAGACTGATGGTTCTCGAAGACCATTCCTTCTACGGAGCCACACACACATCTTCCCAAAACAGCACTATTTATTCATCAGCATCCACCCTGTGTCTTAGAGAAAAGAGCCTTCACCCTGTAGTCCCACAACCCAGATCCACGAATCTCACCGATCAGTTCCTTTCTTGCCTCGTGCCTGCAGGATCTCATTCAGTTTCTTGATGACAACAGCATGGGTGATCTCAGTTCCCTTGGCAAACATTTTTGGTTTCTCCTAGGCAACAAAGATCCTGTCATGTGCAAGTCAACAGGAATCTATTTTGCCTTAACTTTTCTCCCAACCCAACCAGACTGGGCCTGTCTGCTCTTCCAAACTGTTTCCCAATTCATTTTAATTCTGAAATTCTCACCTTCACAAGGGGCACTCCACCTCGGACCTTCTCCCACTCCCCGCCTTCATTGTCCTCCTCCTCCTCATCCAAGCGCTTAGACTTCCTATCGTGCTTCTTCTTGGCTTTGTCCTCCCGTTTCTTCTCAGCAGCCTTCTTGTCCTCCTCTGTGGCCGGGGCTCTGTCGGGAGACGCAGGAAATGAAAGACCAGTCCCCTTCTCCCTAAGGCTTCTTCCTCCCACGAAGCTCCTTTCCTCTGCAGAATCCTGCATCCAAGCTACACTCTACAAGAATGACCTAAAGTTAACCACAACCACAAGGACCACTAAGCACTGAATCTGCTGGACAACTTTCCAAGGCACGTCACCATTTTGCACCAAGAAACTCTTATGAAGGGAACAATATGGCCTGGTCTAATAAGGCAGAGGCACCGGGCCCCTGCACACACAGAAATAGCTCCACCGCTGATCACTAAGTTTCCCAGAG